TTAAATTACTTGGGAAAGTGAACTTACCCTTTAATGCACATTGTGCATGTTAGAGAGTGCGTAGAGACACACACACTACCCTGTTTGTGCGTGCAGATGGTGGGGGAATGGGGTTGGTTTTAATTTTTTTTACTTTATGGACTTTTTATAATGACTATTTTATTAATTTTTACTTTTTTTTTCCACTTAACTTTATTGCTATCGCACAGGGGCTAAAAATCCCCTATGTGATAGCGTTTGGAAATGACAGGTTCTCTTTATGGAGCCTGCCCTCCAATACAGCTAATTGAGCACAGCATTGTGCTCGATCACCTTGCAGCAAAGGTTGTGATAGGTGAGACAGAAGTGCTGCGAGTACAGCGCTCCTGTCTCACTAAGTCACACAGAACAGACCGGAGGTTCTCGGCTCTGCTCTCCAACCTGAAATCAGTGCTGTGGTCCCGGGTGCGCCAGTAGAGCGGGGAACCGCGAAAACCACTGCATGTCCCAGGTATTGAGCCTTAGGCATTCTGCATCCCTGAATACCCAAATTTGGCCTGCTGTTAAGAAAAAAAAAATTGTGCAGCCTCATAGGGAGAAGCTATCCAAACAGTACATACAGAACCTAAGTATTATAGCTTCTGTAACAAATAATCCTGCTGATATTAGATTTGTTTTGTAAGCTAAAGATAGTATTTCATTATGTATGAAATTTTTTTTTTTTAGGAACTACATTGTTGAAGTGGAAACATTGGGAGCCCAGTACAAATGACTCACCAGTTCAGTTACTTGTGCTATGGTTAGGGTATCCAGATATAAAGTGATCGTCAGCCAGCCAAAAACAGCTGGACCAGGATGCTGGAGGTGGTTTGGTTGTTAAATGACAAAATGTAACTTATAGGGGTTTTCCAACTGTCATTTTCCTGCAAATCTATTAATTTGATTGTCAATACTTCAGCTTCATGTTTTAAAACATAGTTTAACCCAGTCCTGCAGAAAATTGGATCCTCATGGGAATTCCCTGATCTCTCCGTTTCAATAAAGAAATAAGTAAATAGATGATGCATGCCAATAAAGTGACATTAGACTCAAAATATTTAAAATACACTGTATTTAATACAAAGTACACAAAATGGCATAGCTATACAAACACTTCTGAAATGATGCGTAAAAACAAACGTTTTACAAAAAAAAAAATGTCCATTTTACAACACAATTCTGGTTAAAATAAAATGTCTCATAATACAATTGCACCACATTGACTTTAAATAATAAAGGCTTGCCTTGCAAAACACAGACCGTACAATTCAAAAGATGTGTCCATACTTTAAATACTTCAAATAGTCTGAATCAAACAAAAGGAAATACAAAGACTGATTCATATAAGCTCTTAATACAAGACTGTTCATTTTGTTTACTATTGTAGTATGATGAAAAACAGATTTCCATGCTTGATTTGAAGGCATAATACTCTTAGTCCGTTCTCGATTCATTTGATTAATTTGCCATGTTCTCAGACGCCTAAAGGGAATATAAAACAAAAAGATGGTCATACTTCTGCAGCAAGATTTATGGCAATTACACTATCTCAAGTTAGCCGTGGAGGAAGGGTGGGACTCGCCCCTGGAGGAGGATTGAGCCCTTTCCCATTCTTCCATGAAGCAACCTGCTTTGTTGCACTTTGCTCCTTAAAGTTGGATAGTCCATGGTCCCATCGCACTCCTGACCGCGTAAATACATTCAAGAATTTGGGTGCTGCGGTAGTCAACGGGTGGCAGCCGTAACAAACGTGCGCTAAAGCAGAGACACCAACACTCCAATTTTGCAAAATACGTCTATTTATTGACGTGCATCGCGATAAAAAAAAAAAGTGTCACTAAAATGCATTCAAGTACCCCAACTAGGAATCTACCGAAAAATGGTACTATGGGCAAATGCTGATTGTACCAAAATGGACAGAAATGTGATGCATCCTTAGGATTCTCTCCTCTTCGCTGTGCGCTGGTCGGTGTCCCCTCCAATCCCCACTGCTCTCCCCAGCCTGTGTCAGCGGAGGCAGCGGGGATCAGAGGGGAAACAAAGCCGATCTAGCTGCTGGCGCCCAGCGGGGAGGAGAGAAGTTGTCAGGAGGCCAAGAGGAGAGCTTGGCTCCTGTGACAAGCATAGCAGTCAGGATGGAGAGAGGAACATAAAACACTGAGCGATCAGTACTGATTGCTCAGTGATTGTAGATAAGCTTACTATGTCCCCAGTTATGAACGTACGTGTTCTGCATGACTTCCTGTTCATTTATAAATACAGACATCGTAAATATTTACTATCTGCTCACTTTATGAATGAACAGGAAGCAGCTCAGTACAGAGGCTTCATGGCCATTCATGACTGGGTTGATAGTAAATATTTACTATCTCCAAATTGTGAATGAACAGTCAATGAGTGCTTCCTGTTTATTTATGAATGAGGCTGCAAAAACGATTGGAGACTGTGTCCGCAATCTCCTTTTCTATTTTAAAAGTGAAATATCAGGGGTCTGTTGAGACCCCTGATACTGTATTTCCCCAAAGCCCCTAACAGTAAAGTAAAAGAAAAATGATTAACCAGTTGACATCCGCGGTGTTAAACCCCCTTCCCATCCAGGCCATTTTTCAGTATTCAGCGCTGCGGTACTTTAACTGACATTTATTCCGTCATGCAGCGCTGTACTGAAATGAATTTTATACCCTTTTTTGGGGACAGATAGAGCTTTCTTTTGGTGGTATTTATTCACCACTGGGGGTTTTATTTTTTTAATATATTAAGGAAAAATTGCGGGCTATGGACCCGCTGATCGCCTATATGTGTAACACCCGGTAACGGGTGTGTGCACTGATCGGGTCTTTTCTGCCCGTGCGTGCCCGCTAGGGGGCCCGCGCGAGCAGAAAAAAATTGCCGTCTGGAGACGGCAACCCGCAGATGCAGCAGTGCCGTCCGTCCGTTTTTTTACTACGGGCGGACGGCAAGAGGTTAAATAATTTAAGATTTAAAAAAAAAAAAAAAGGTTCAGAAAGAAAAAAAAAAGACCTTCTCAGTTTCAGTCTGACAAATTTTTTAAATTTCAGGTTCGATCTAAACATTTCATTTTGGTGCATCCCTAACACTATTAGTAAGTCAGCTGTAGAGCCTCAAATCATATCTGAATTGGTGCCGACACTTTTTCCTTCTGGAGGGCGGCTATTTTTGTTCCCCATGGTCTCGGTGTGTGTAGTAAAGCAACCACCGGTCCAAGCTCAATCCCGTGATGGACTACAGTCTCACATTTAGTTTAATAATTTGTATTGAGATTGTAGTCAATCACAGGAGTGATACATTTTTTTGTTAAAAGCTGCCACTGCTGTTTAACAAATGTTCCCGGGCTGTAATTCTAGTGCCTTGTCCTGAATCTTAAGTAATTTTGCTGGAACAAGCATAGAGAGCAGTAATTCTGACACCCATTTACAACATGCTTGTTCAAAAGTAATTAACTTGTTAAGCCAAACACAGCCAGGAAGCTAGTATTTGCAGAAGGAATCCAACAATGGCAGTTTTCAAGATGCACATGGACATGAAAATATTAGGGCTGTTACGGATTAAAATTTTCGTGTTCGATGAATCAAAATTTTTTAAAATTGATTAATTTTGATCATAACGCACATACAGATCCAACTACATTGGCCTATACACATACAGCACAGCAATAAAGTAATAAAATGAACTAGGATCACACTAATCCAGCACGTTATTAATCTCACGTGCCCCACTCAATATGGCTGCCGTTTGAGTGGGTCAACTCAGAATAATAACGTGCTGGATTAGTGTGACTCACCGGCCCAAGTGGCTCAGTCGGCTAACTAAGGGAAGGGGGGAGGAGTCCGGTGACGTCACGGACATCTCCCCCCTTCCCTTCATAAGCCGTCACCCATATCGTCGTCACCGGACTCCTCCCCTCTTCCCTTGCCAACGGAGCCACTTGGGGAAGGGGGGAGGAGTCGGAGACGCCGATGTCCGTGACGTCACCGGACCTCCCGGAAGCCGGCGGAGAGTGAGTGTTTTCATTTGCCATCAAAATAATTTTAATCGATCAAAAAGTTTAACGATTAATCGAGAAATTAATCGTTAATTGCCCTAGAAAATATCATAAAATGTTACTCAATATAAAGAAGAATATATACATATACATTCTTCCCATACATTCCTGGTTCTGTCCAGCAGTCAGTCTTAATGCTCCTTTACATAATGTTAAAGTGGAAGAAAAGCTGGGGGCGGGACACACGCCGCGGGAGCTTATAGCCATAGTGTGCTACAGTAGTGTTGCACAGCATGTTAGCACATTATGGCAGACTTCCCTGCTTACTTCATTGCTACGCTTCTTCCTCTCCAGCAATTGCATCTTGGGCTCGGTTCTCTTGCGAGTTTCCATTGCTTGGTTGCTTGACTGCGCATGGGAGTTACTTGATCTCAGTATGCCGGTCTGTGTGTGGCTCAGCATTCAGAAAAAAAAAAAGAAGAATTGCTGAATGGTAAAAAGGAGCTTTTATGGCAGAAGTGACTTATAGTCTTTTCTGCCATGCAAAGCCAGCTTCGGATGGCTTTTTAATTTTTATTTTACCGCTTTAAACAAATGACAAATCCACAGATAGAAGAAGACCCTTGTATTGGCAGTGACAGGGGAACAGACCTGGGAACCCAGGTACACAGATTGGCTGCTTAGAGTCCGTGTCAGACAGAAGACAGTGGACTAACCCTTAAAGTGGTTAAATTCTAAGACAGAATAATTTGTATTTGCATTCTTTTCTACAGGGATTACCGAGAGGACTTTTAAAAAAATAATGCTGCCTAAACACAGTAAAGCTAATTAACTGGTTCATTTATATGCATAATGTCTGAGCCACTAATAAATGCCACTGTGGTCAAACAGATATCCTAGTAAAAGCCATGCACAGCTAAGCCTCAGAGAGAATTGGTGTTTAGAGAAACACTGAACTATAGAAGAATGCCTGCAGTATACTAAAAAAAAAAAACACGTCGAAGACACTTAAAAGTAAGACATATTTTGTAAAATGTCTTTACAGACTTCCTAACTGTACCATAGCTTTCAGAATTTCACATTGATATCAGGACCCACAGATAATACTCATCACTCGTCTGAATAATCACTTGCCTTTAGTGCCTCTGTCGCTCTGCGCAGCTCTTTTATAACCGAAGACAAAGCCTCTGGATTAATCCCTTGCTCGCAGAGTCTCACGCATATCGATAGGGTCTCCATATCCAAACCTGTGTTCAGAAGTCTGGAGATTTCAAGTAGCACTGTTAGAATAAAGAAAACAAAAACAAGACATGGATGTTTTATTGGCATGTTAATACCAGGTCACATTGTAAAGCCGGCCATACGTGTAAAGATTTATCTCGTTCACACCAACCACTTGATTACCCCATCTGCACTAAACATGGATGGGGAAATCTCTCCTGACAGCTGTGAAAATGCCTGAACCAGAACTGCAGCTAATGGGGTGAAGTCACTGCTTAGTCAACTTTTTCGGCATCGGGGCCCAGCCCATCAAGTGACTGAACAATTGAAACCCAGAAGAATGGGGAGAAGATGGAAGTGCAGATGAAGGAGAAGTGCAGTGCTGGAGGGAATTGGTTGAGCAGGTAAGGCTGCCATAATGTGCTAATATGCTGTGCATACTAGCACAGTGTGGCTATTCCAAGGGGGGTAAGTTTTTTTAATTAGCTTTAATTCTGCTTTAGGGCTTTCTCACACTATGTCCGTATCAGATAGTTCTTTTGTCTAGAGCTGCAGCTAACGATTATTTTCAAAATCGATTAGTTAGCCGATTATTAGGTTTGATTAATCGGTTAATCGGATAAACAATAAAATAAAGTTTAAAAAATGGCTCCAGTGATAGGACTACTAGTTTGTATTGAGGTTGTAGTCCATCACAGGAGCAAGCTTGGAGCGGTGGAAGTAAAAAAGAAAAAAGATAGTGTGGTGTGCAATATAGTGAAATGGAAAGTGTAAAATTATACAGCAATGAATGCAGAATGGCACCGGCTATAGAGGACTACAAAACCCAGCAAAAGCACATTATACAGCGCAATGCAGAATACCGCCAGCTATAGAGGAATACAACAAATCGCAGCAATAGTACATAATAGCTGGCGGCATTCTGCATTGAGCTGTATAATGTGGTGGTATTTAGCATTGTACCACTTAATAATGTACTATTGCTGGGATTTGTTGTAGTCCTCTATAGCTGGTGGTATTCCGCATTGCGCTGTATAATGTATTATTGCTGGGACTTGTAGTCCTCTATACAGCGCAATGCAGAATATCACCAGCTATAGAGGAGTACAACAAATCCCAGCAATACATTATACATACAGTGTATAATGTATTGCTGGGATTTGTATTCCTATGTATAATATACAGCACAATGTACCATCAGCTATAGAGGAATACAAATCCCAGCAATACATTATAGAGCACCATGTGTGGGAAAGTGCAGGCTTACCTGAGCAGTCTTCCAGCAACTTGCTTCTGAGATCGGACCTGTCTATCGGCGGCTGTCATCCCCCCACACCTGCTCCTCCTTACTACATCTCCCCGCGTCCCTGTGCCGATCGTGGATGTGGGCGGGCGGTGAGTGTGAGGCGGGGAGGAGGTGCGGCGTGAAGGGCGTGGATGCGAGCGGGTCTGGCAGCGGCGAGCGTGAGGTGGGGAGGAGGTGCGGCGCACAGTGTGTGGAGCTGTGAACAGGGCCAACTGATCGGAAGCCGATTAATCGATTATTGAAAAAGTTGACAACTTTTTCAATAATCGATTATAATCGATTATGTCGATTAGTTGTTGCAGCCCTACTTTTGTCCACACTTAAAATACATCCCAATGTATCCCTAGGATATTTCTGGGTTCTGTTAACGTCAGAGCAGTCCGTTCCGGTATACGGGAATAAAATTACTGCGCGCACTATTTATTCTGGTCTGGAATGTACCAAGCGCATTGGAACACAACTGAAAGACAATACAGGCTTTAAAATAGGCACTGGAATGCATGAAAAATGCACCGCACTGCGTTTGCAGAAACACAACGAGATCTGGTGTGGACAAGCCCTTAAAGAGAAACTTTACCTTTATCTTCAAAAACAACAAAGACACCTTTAGAAATGTTTAGCAATGGCAATCTGCAAACACATACTTCTAAATAATTGCTGGCTTTGTATTCTTTACATACATTATTTATCTTTTCTTTCACACTCTTCTGACAGTGGCCATGTTTACTAGATCTCACTTTACTTCCTGAAACTCTGGCACATGTGACTAGGACATATGACCATGCACATCATCTCAGGGGAGGAAAATGCCTTTCCCTGAGATCTCATGAGATTTCACAGCAACGCACCACTGATGTAACCTTCCCAGGATGCAATGCTTGGGTACATTACATCACGAATGCCCTAGGAGGACCAGGAAGTGAAAACAAACAGTAATTTTAAGTAAAAGAAAAATACAGTGGTACCTAGTGGTTCACGAACATAATTCGTTCTGCGATTCTGTTCGTGAACCGAATCAAACTGTGATCGGACCGCTATCTCGACTATGGCCATATGTCAGAGCAGGGGTGACCTCTAGCACCATCTGAACAGTCACCTGCTGGAAATGAATCCAGGAATAATGCTTAGCTTCTTAAAGAGGGAAGGTATCCTTGATGGCGTCAGACAGAGAATTATAGTAATTTTATTACACCATTTCCTATCAGTTCTTTGGGTCAGTAATCTGGTGCAAAAACCAATAGGTCACATTGTGCTAGATCTTCCCTAGGTAGTTACTATTGTAACAAAGCTGATGGGGTTTGTATCCTCTATACACTAGAAATGTCACGGCAGGTGGATCCAAAGGAAAACAGTGCAGACCCAGGGGTACCAAAACTCTTGTAGCATACTCAGTAAGAGATTACTGAATTTAAAAGGGAAATTCCACCTTTTAGAAAAAATAATAATACACATAGGGGAATTTATCACAACTGGAGCAGATAGAACTATCGACAACTATGGACAGTTACTATGGGCAACTGCTCCAGGTTCTGTTGCTTCCGTTTTAATAACCCCCCACACACTTATTTATAAAAGAAATATAATCTGCAGTTATTTATTTTTGCACAACGGCCAGTAAAGCATTGCAACCATGTTCAGTAGATCACAGATACAATGCTCTGGCTCCTGTAGACGACTCCTATTCATGTCTGTATTAAGGACGAGAGGAAGTCAATTGACTACAAGTGTGGTGACATCACCATGCTTGTATTCCATTGAGAGCTACAAACCCATCTGTGGTGACTGATGGAACGTGTAGTTTCTCTATTAACAATCCTACAAAACATGCAACCCTGTACACAGCGGCACACGTACAGGTATGCACATTTTACGCATGCCAGGGTGCAGAATATTTGACCAGTTCATTCATTTCAATGGGCTGCCAACACACAACAAAGAAGTGCGCTGCACAAAAACATGTACTTTAATAAAAATTATTTTGGCATACTAAAACACACCTTTTTGTGCAAGTTTGGGGTGCCATCTATAATGAATGGCTCAGCAAAAAAGAGAAGATGATTGTTTACTAAGGATGCACTGATACCAAGTATTTGGGCTACTACTCGTTCTAATGCTCCGATGCCTGAGCTTCCAGCATCAGGAAGCCGGGCAGCGAGTCATTACATGCTGCCCGGCTTCCTGATTGGCCAAGAAGCCGGCTCCATGCTCTCTCGTCACTTGCTGGAGGTAGCTGGCAAATCAGGAAGCCGAACGTCGAGTCATTACCCGCCCCCTGGCTTTCTGATTGGCCAGAAAGCCGGCTTCATGCTCCGTCACCTGGTGACGAGGGAGCAGGTGTTCCATCGAAAGTTCCAACTTGTCAACGTCACATCCAGTGACTGCCAGTACGAGATCTACAGCAAATGGTGCTAATGCGTTGCACACCACACTTTTTTTTTTAACTTCCACCGCTCCAAGCTTGCTCCTGTGATGGACTACAATCTCAATACAAACTAGTAGTCCATCACTGGAGCCATTTTTTAAAATGTATTTTATTGTTTATCCGATTAACCGATTAATCGAACTTAATAATCGGCTAACTAATCGATTTTGAAAATAATCGTTAGCTGCAGCTCTAGCGCAAGCCCAGGAAATCCTTGTCGAACTGTCTAACTATTGCCACAGCGCCTGCGCGGCGATCCACTTCTATAACCTACAACAGTTATATTTGTCCTAGGTTATAGAAGCCGATAGCCGCACAGGCGCTGTGGCTATTGCCTCATCGGATTCTATAACCTAGTCAAAAGGTTATATTATGTTACAGCGCCTGCACGGCAATATGATTCTTTCTACAACCGCAGTTGCCACTGTGTCTGCGCAGCTATCGGCTTCTATAACCTAGGACAAATATACGTTTGTACTAGGTTATAGAATCCAATGAGCCGCTAGCCGCGCAGTGGCAATAGTTAGACAGTTCGACAAGGATTTTCTGCCCATGCGCACTAGCTCCAGCTGCTGTACATCTCCTACTGTCAGTCACCGGATGTGACGCGCCCAGTCGGAGAGCTCAACAAGTCGGAGCTTTTGATAGAACACCGGCTTCCTGGCCAATCAAGAAGGTGGGCGCTGTGTAATGACTCATTGCCCGGCTTCCTGATTGGCCAGCTTCTCGACCAGGCCAATCTCAACCAGGCTTCTCGGCCAGAAAACCGGCTCCATACTTCCTCACACCGCCTGGCTAATCAGAAAGCCAGGTGGCGAGTCTTTACACACCGACTGGCTAATCAGAAAGCCAGGTGCCGAGTAATCACATGCCGCCTGGCTTCCTTACTAGGACTTCCAGTATTGGTATCCGCAGGGCTTGAAAAATTTGATGGTGTCTCACCAGTCAGTAAAAAATTTCACCAGTCAGCATGACCGGACTATAGCCTTGCAATTGATGTTAACATTATATTAAAACGCTTTTACTGCTCATCAGTTTAGTGTTATCAGTGATTATTGTCTCTAAAATGATTGCACTCACTCCGTTTGCGGTGATATGCAACATGTGCGGCATAATAGGCGCAATCGTCGTTTTCGCACTAGTTGCATATCTGCGTGTGTATGTGGGGGGCAGGGACTTACATTTTTTTTTCTCTGCATTCGGGGACTGAGAGGAGATCAAAGGGAGCCCGTATACTGACCTCCCTTTGATCTCCTGTCACAGTGCCGTGCCGTTCCCGGCCGCATCGGTACAGCGGATCTCGGGACCGGCAGTGACAGCTGTTAATACAAGCGATCAAGCGTCTCTAGAGACGCCCGGTCGCTTGAATGTAAAGCTCCTGGTCGGCCGTGTAATTACAATGGCCGGCCAGGAAGTTGCTCGTCAGGCTCCACTGTCCTCTCGTCACAGACGAGTGGATTTTTCAAGCCCTGGGTATTCGGCATCAGCAAGTACTGAAAAAAAAATATCGGGACTCGATACCGAAAAACCGCTGTTGGTGCATCCCTATTTTTTACTATAGACAACTGCTCCACATTCTGTCGACTCCAGTTTTGATAAAACCCCCTCAATGAATTCCGCATGTGTACCATCGGCATACAGTTATGAATGGGGGCTTCAAGTCCCATCTGTAGAAGAAGTAGTCACTCGCACACCTAGGCCCAATGCATCAATGCGTCCTTTTATTGACGTCAGATGCACATGGCATCACAAGTACAAAGCAACGTTTCAGGAACCTACCATGGTCCCTTCATTAGGCAAGAAGCATAGTGACCATGCTAGGTTCCAAAATGTTGATGTGTGCTTGTGATGTCATGTGCATCTGACGTCAATAAAAGGACGGATTGACGCATTGGACCTCGGTGTGCGAGCAGCTACTTCTTCTACATTTGGATTTATGTAGCACCATCCGAATGTCATTCACCACTGGATTCCGGTCTGTCAGTGCAACGGGACACGAATTCAAGCCCTATCTGTCACCAGGACAGAGGTTCTCATAGGTCAAAGAACAAGTGCAGTGACGTCTCCCCACTCATAGTCCATTGATAAGGAGGTGAATTCCTCCTTACAGACCTGGGTTCAGGGGAATAGTCTGCAGGAGCCTGTGTATAGGCACCCACAATTCAATGATCACAATTACATGCATCAATAAATGAATGCACGTGTATTTTATTTTCATTAATGTGTGTGCAGTTATTATTAAATATGCCTTTAATATTATGCCTATAATATTAAAAGGGTATATCACTTTTGTAGGCGACAGGTCCTCAAACTACACACCGACACATGTATTACAGACATACACCTGCTCCTGAACTGAATCTGTCTCCTATCATAAGCGACATACTCACCGTCCATAGTCTCCCGCATAGCGCTGACACTAACAGGCGCACTCGCCATGGTGACCCCCCAAGCTCTGGCGACCCGGAAGCGACCAACAGTAAAAACCAATAGTAGACGTTAGGGAGGAGTCTGCAGAACGTTTCTTCAATGGTAGCCGAGTAGAAGGGGCGGAGACAATCCGATCCGTGTTGACAATCACCCTGCAAAGAACACGCCCACTGTCCGGAAATTGTTGTGAAGAGGAAGTTGTAGGTAGTTCACTTGGTGACGGGGGGCGGGGCTCCATTCGAATTTGTATGGCGGACACCCTGACATTGGGCGACGTTAGTATCTTAGTAGCTCCGCCCTTTCGCCGATATCTGATTGGCAAATTGATGCAGGGACTAACGTTGATTGGTTTCCTCTTCTTCTTTCCTGTAGTTTTCAGCCTTCTCTCCAGCGCTGCGGCAAATCTCCGATCCAGCGCTAACACCTCCCTGCTTGCAGGCACTTCCGATCCAGCGGTGTGTGCATGCGGGTACACGCGTCCATAGACTTACCGTGCGTCTCTGCTCGTCTCCCGGCCGAGAACCCGAACTGCGCGTGCGCCCGCCCCAAGATCCTTTGCGCCCGCACGAGCAGTTCCTGATTCTCCGCGTGGGAGCGCGCAGAGATAACAAGGTAAGTTTAAATCGCTGTTAAATCATTTTTTTTTAACTTTTTGCCTAGATCTACTGCTCGCCAGCAGTAGATCTAGGCAAAAAAAACCCATGTAGTGCCGTCCGTCCGTTTTTTTACTACGGGCGGACGGCAAGAGGTTAATGTCACTCTAAGCTTATATGGACATCTCTAAGATGCCATGCATGGGCTGGAGCATGTAACTCCTGGGTGCATGACTAGGAGTTACATGATCAGTGGCCACCCAATGGCTGAGGAGGATGCCTGGGAACATGGAAGCGCCAGAGATGTCAGGGGACTGTAGATGTGTTGCACGTCGCTGGAGAATACTTGTAAGGTAAGTGTGCCGTAATGTGCAAGTAAGCTCTGCTTACTACAACATTGTGGCAAAAACCCACCCAGCTCACAGTAGTTTTCTTCCACTTAAACTAGCTATTCATGGCTGCGTTTCGTGCTTCGGATGGCCCTGTCAGCACCACTCGGCTCCACAAACATCGATTGAAAAATTGTTGGCTGGACAGTGACTGCATCCAGTCAGCTGCAGTCACTATTCGGCTATTCAGGTAGTTGGGGTCGCTCTCTGTCTGAATATAGTAGCCAGCAGCACATTCATACGAGGCTTTAAAGGAGAAGTATGGGGTCAGTGTTTTTCCCCATAGTTCTCCTTAGGGTAACGAGAGGACACAAACTAGCGTCCTCCCGTTACCCTAAGCTCAGAGCTACAGCTCGTGGTATACTGAGACGCGGCAGCCGGAGCGGATCCCGACGTAGATGACGGGATCCGCCCAGCTGCATGAGTGACAGCTGGCTCTGCCTATCTAGAGGCAGAGCCAGCTGTACCCGCCCCCTCCCCCGTCCGTTCCGCCAGTCAGCGCTGGCAGATCGGAGCGGGGAGAGGGGAATCCAGCCCCTCCCCTGTCACGGCAGAGAGCCGTGACAGGATCGAGAGGCGAGCGAAGCCGGTATGTGTTCGCTCACCTCCCGATCTACTCAGCCGACCTCATAGTTCTCCTTTAATATCTGGCTGCACATTCATAGGTGGTGCTGTGGCCACTCAGTCTGTACAACGTAATGACTGACTGCAGATGTATTCTGTGTTCAGATGTAATTGCACATGATGCTTTCCAGCTCCCTAGTCAACTCCTCCCATACTCGCCTCCAGGACTTCTCTAGAGTCTCTCCCATCCTCTGGAACTCTTTACCCCAACCTGTCCGTCTATCTCCCACCTTGACTGTCTTTAGGCATTCCCTGAAGGCTCTTCTCTTCAGGGAAGCCTATCCCACCTCAACCTAACCACTGAACCATCACATTCTCAAACAATTCATCCCCACACAGCTACCTCCTCATGTATCATTTCCCCCTCCTCTTTCAGATTGTAAGCCCTCAGGGGCAGGGCCCTCCTTACCAACTTGTCTTGAATTGTATTGTAATTGTAATGTCTTCCTTACATTGTAAAGCGCTGGGCAAACTGTTGGCGCTATATAAATACTATGCAATAATGAGATTACCTGCGGACACAAACTGCTTACATCTAGGGGTGATTGTCTGTCTCTAAACTCAGGTAATTACTCCAATGGCGATTTACATCTAAACACAGGCTGACAGCTGTGTCTGTGGTCAGCCTTTCATTGCTCTGTACAGGCTGAGTGGTCACCGCACCACCTGAAATTCGCACAGTGTGTGCTGCTGTTGGCATTCTTTTGGCCGGCATCCCTCAATCAGCTGATCAAAGGAAGCAGTTGGAAAATCTTCAAAGGCACAGAGGCGGCAGCCAATCAGCTGCCAGCTCTGTTTGAGTATTATAACAGCGGATGGTGGCTGCCGCCAGAATACAATGACGACAGCAGGAGATTCGTCGATCAACGCTTGTAAGTGTTGATGGAGGAATCTGTAATATTTTCTTTGTTCAACCCACAGGTTTCTTAGAGCTGGCCGTATACTGCAGGGTTTTTTCTTTGTTGTTTTTCAAATTTTGAGCCCAACAAGCTGAACCAGAAAAAACTCTTGATTCCCCGAATATGCTAATGCCACAACCCCCCCCTTGCCGGGTTACTGTATTCCAACAGTGGCCGGTGACTTTAGTTGATTGACTGACTGCAGTCCTGCTCGGCTGCCGTTTTTCAGATCCGCTCCTTAGGCACACATTGGTTGAAAAATTGATGGGTGGGGCTCCCGAGAGGGCCATGCTCTACGCACATTTCTGTTGAGTCATCAGGACTGGAGAGTCAGTGATGCAATTCCACCAGTTTATGGCCAGCTTAAGACTGTTGTCCCTGTTTGATATTCCTCCCCGCCCCCCCCACATTCTTTTCTACCTTCTGAATCCCCCCAGTGGGTGGTGGGCACAGACGGCAAAGGATACCATGTGTTGTGTCTCTGCTTTTTTCCAGCAACTACAGCAAGGATTTTGATAGTTACAATGAATCTAAAGACAAAACCTTATTTAGATATGAATTGAAAAGGCAAGGGTTAGAACACCTGCCAGGTTTTTATTGCTGCCTGTATCCCTGTTGGGGGGGATTAATCCCCTTTGGGTGTTCTGGTTACTATTGTCACCAAGACTGAAATTAATGGAAAAGGCATAAGAAGGGAGGGGGGTTGGTCCAGAGGCCACCTATAGCCAGATCACTAATATTGCAGTAGGTTTATTTCTCCCACTACAGCTTTACTTTTGATAGGAAGCCAGAGCAATAGGTTTAATTTTTTTCTTACATTTCTAAAAGTGTATAATTTGAATTCCTTTGCTCCACCAGTGCTTTGTTCATATGCAGAAGACAGCTGATTGCAGTTGTTGAAGCTAAAAGTAAAGCATATATAAATTGGAGTTTGTAGCCTACATGGAGTTAGACAGTTTTGCACATATTAGGGATGCACCGAAATTTCGGCCGGCGAAACTTATCGTCCAAAAATGGCAGAATGTCAAACGTGCCATCTTTCGTCCAAAATAGCATTGCATCCATAGTTTCTCGTCTCCCCCTGACACAGCGTTCAGCAGGGAGGAGAGAAACTGTTAGAGGAGGCCGAGCGGTGTGGGGGAGAAAAGCGCTGTGAACACCCGGCGTGTCACAGGAGGCCAGGCTCTCCTTCCACACCACCCCCCTCAGCCTCCTCTGACCGATCAGGATGGAGAGCAGTGTGTGAGCGGAGACGGGAGCCTGAGCTGGCATGAGGGAGAGGAGTCGGCTGTCAAAATAGACTGAGCTCTTCTCCCTGCACCACCAGCTCACCCTCCTGTGACAGTCGATCCAGGATAGAGAGCGGTATACAAACAGTCAGATCAGTGATCGCTGAATGTTTGTAAATAACTGGATATAGTATGAGTTACTATGTATCGGTTATGAATGAATAGGAAGTGATCTACATCACGTCCTATTTATTCATGATTGTGGACATAGTAACTCAAACTATATCCCAGGGGTGTGGACATTTTTGAAAAAACTACTTGTCCAAGGACTAAAGCGGGGGCCGAATCTACTTGTCCCTCATGACAATCTACTTGTCCTGATACAAAAAAAAATAATTTTAACCGAAACCGTATTTAGCAGTGCTAAGAAGAGCTTCTCATTGGTCAGTGCCGTCAGGTGACTGCGTTGACCAACGAGTGCTTGCAATTTGCGAGCGAAATTCAGACAACATGGAACAGGTACAGATAGTACACCCGTACTGGTGGACGGGAAGGACCGTTTGCTGAAAGGTAAGTATAGTGGGAGGGAGATTTGTGCGGGTAATTCCATTTTCCCAAATTACTTGGGAAAGTGAATGTACCCTTTAGGGTTGGTGCAGACTTGGGGATTCCCGGGACGTGCGATCATGTGCGGTTGCATCCGCATTCATGGGGTTACATCTGCGTGGCAATCGCTGAAAAAAAGGTAGATGTACCTATTTTCACGACGTGCACCGCGCAGTGTTTTCAACCGTTTTCGCCCGCGGCGGTATTGCAGTAGGAAAACGTGCAATCTGCCTGCGGATGACTGGGGTGCCATTAGAAAATAATGGCACTGACAGCACGATCGGCGGTGGTGTGCGATTCCGTGACCACCCAGCCATCCGCTCGGTTTCGTGCACGATGACCGGGCAGTCACGGATCGCACACCACTGCCGATCGTGCTGGCAGTGCCATTATTTTCTAATGGCACCCCAGTCATGCCAGGCAGATTGCGCGTTTTCCTGCTGCAATACCGCCCTGCCCGTGCGGTTGCACACGATTGCAGTTGAAAACACTGCGCGTTTATTCGCGTGCAGATGGGGGCAGTGGGGCTGGTTTAATTTTTTTCTGTTTTTATTTACTTTGTAAAAAATGTTCAATTTGTTTTATTATTTTTACTTAAAGGAGAACTATGGGGTCAGTGTTTTTCCCCATAGTTCTCCTTAGGGTAACGGGAGGACACAAACTAGCGTCCTCCCGTCACCCTAAGCTCAGTATACCGCGAGCTACAGCTCGCGGTATACTGAGACGCCGCACCTGGAGCGGATCCCGACTTAGATGACGGGATCCGCCCAGCTGCGTGAGTGACAGCTGGCTCTGCCTATCTAGAGGCAGAGCCAGCTGTACCCGCCCCCTCCCCCGTCCGTTCCGCCAGTCAGCGCTGGCAGATCGGAGAGGGGAATCCAGCCCCTCCCCCTGTCACGGCAGAGAGCCGTGACAGGATCGAGAGGTGAGCGAACCCGGTATGTGTTCGCTCACCTCCCGATCTACTGAGCCGACCTGTGACAGTCTCATTGTCACAGGTTGGCTAGAACTATGAGGCGAGTGAAAAGCACGCGCCTCATAGTTCTCCTTTTAATCGCCTTTTTTATTTTTTACATTTTTATTTAGTTACATTTTTAGTTAATATTTTTTACTTTTTTTCTTGTTTCTTTTTAACTATTTAAAAAACAACTTTTTATTGTATTGCTATCACACAAGGAATAATAATCCCCTGTGTGATAGCATTTGGAGGTGACAGGTACTCTTTATTGACCCTGTCACCTCCAACACGGGAGTTCTAACACAGCACTGTTGCTAGAACTCCTGCGACAGGAACGAGCAGCGGCCGCCGGGGACAGAGGCTGGGGGACGTGACAGAGCCTGTCACAGCTCCACCGTCCGTCTTCGTCACTGCTCCACGGCCCTCGCTCCGTCACGCCCTGTGCTCCGTCCCCATCTCATTCAACGCTCCGTCCCCGCTCTCGGCGCTCAAAGAAAGCCAGCCCTGCTACTAAAACAGTGCAAAAGCCACTTGCCCGGCGCCTGGAACTACATGTCCCCGGGCGTCGAGCGATACGAATTCCTCACCCCTGTATCCACAAGTTATGAATGCTCAGTATGGAGGATTCCTGTTCAAGGGGCTGCAGGGCTCTCTGTCCTCAATCTCTTTTCCTATTGTAAAAGGGAAATATCAGGGGTTTAGGCCCCCAATATTTCCCTGGAGCCCCTAGCAGTAAAGTTAAAAAATAAAAATTTAAATAAATGAAATATTTTAAAAGGTTAGAAAAAAAATTAGTTTTGGTTCGGCCTGCATTTTTTTTTTTTTTTTTACATTTTTCGGTTTAACATTTTTATTTCAGTGCTCCTCTAGTACATAGGTTTTTTTTTTTTTTATTTATTTTATTCTTTATAGTATAGTCATTTTTTTTAGCTAAAAATTGCATGTGAAGATTAGTTAATATGTTATTTTGTAATCTGTTTTTTTAATAAACTTTTTCTCCTTTTTTAATTGTGTACAGGCATCATTTGTCTCCTTTCTGAAATGGGTGATGTTCGTGCTCAGATGACACCAGAAACTCCAGGACGTACAACAGTTCTTAACCCTTTCGAGAGTCCAAATGACTATTGCAGCTTAAATGAGCCTTTTGTTTCCAGTCCATCAATGTTCAAACCAGCAAAGTCTTCAGCTGTAAGTTCCTAATGCTAACTTAAATGTCTTAATGTTAAACTCAGAGGTTAGGAGGTGGTAGTTTTGCGCTGGGTCATTGTATGTGCTTCACAGTTTAGATCTTTCTGCCTATGAGAAAATTGTCCTGATTAAATACACTTTACAACCATCGCACGACTTTCGTCTTGCGATGGTTGTAAGGTAATTAAAAAACGTAAGATCTGCCCATCTTGGACAGGCAGATCGTACTTGCGATCATCACAAGCCCGCCCCGCTGAGGGGAGGGCTTCTGATGACTGCAATGCTGAGCGGGCAGTGTGCGTTTGCGCACACCGGCACGTGCGGCATTTGCCTTACGAGCACACCACAAACCCTCCGAAAATCTTCCGATTTTCGGCTGGTTTTCAAACGTGCTCGTAAGGCAAAAGACGCGCGACGGTAAAGTAGAAAGGTTCGCACACCTTCCATACACCTGCCGATTATCGTACGATAATCGGCAGGTGTATAGCCTCCTTTACTTGTGGCTTTTGTGCAATGAAAATCTTTCATTGTACTTGTATTATGACGAAATGAACCACCTGGTCTAATACTTTGCGATCCAACTCGGCTTACACCTGGGCCACTTCCTGATGGGAGGCCTTACATAACAGAGGATGGCATTGGAAGCTGACAGATAATAGGATCCGACACTTCCCAACATGCCAGATCCCTAATAATAATTAGCATACTGTCGTAGAAAAGGGTGCGCAGCCAACCGTGGCAACATGTATATCCAAGTTGAGGTTGTACACTCCCTATCAACTGCCATATTTTTGACAAAAATCTCTAGATGATTGTAAGGTGTATGGGCATCTTTTAAGGTGGCCATACACTTTACAACCCTCGCAAGACTCTGTCTTGCGAGGGTTGTAAAGTAATTTAAAAAAACTTACGATCTGCCCATCTTGGACAGGCAGATCGTACTTGTGATCGTCGCAAGCCCGCCCCCCTGAGGGGTGGGCTTCCGATGACCGCAATGCTAAACGGGCAGTGTGCGCGTGCGCACACCGGCTCGTTCGGCAGTTGTCGAACAAGCAGGCCACTAACCGGCCGAGAATCGTACGATTCTCGGCGAGTTTTCCAGCCTGCTTGTTCGACGGAAGCTGTGTGACTGTACAGTAGAAATGGTCGCACGCCTTCCATACACTTCGCGATTATCGTGGGATTTCCCGCGATTATCGTACGATCATACAATGTATGGGCACGTTTAGTCCCTGTTCTTTCTGCCTTACACCGCTGACCTCTGTGCGTTTTAATTACTGACCTCTGTACTGTGTGTTACATTACTGACCTCTGTACTTCTGCACTCTGCCTCACACCAATGACCTGGCGGAGTTCAGGCCAGAGCAGGGTAGGGGTTAGGTGGGGCAACTTGTGACGTAGCTCAGGGCCTGAAATTGTGAGCCCTGTCATAGCTCACACGAAGAAAACAAAATATTTATCTTTTCAGACTCCACATCAGTTTAGATGGTCAATTGATCAGCTTGCTGCTATATATCCTGTTGAGATTGATCCTGAAGATATACATCGCCAGGCTTTATATTTGAGCCATACCAAGTAAGTTGTTTGTTTCTATAATGACTTGTGTTTGATAATAAAACCTAAACAGTTGTACCTGTGGTTGGCTTATTCATAAAATGTAACTGCATTGTGGTCATTTATATTTTTCAAAGCAGTTATGTTTCAGGGCACAAACATCTTTGATAAAGTTCTGATGAATTTTAAATGGAACCCTAATTTCTACAAACGCTTATGTTTAACCTCCCTGACGGTGATCCAGAGTGTGGCTCGGGGTTAATTTTCAGTACCAAAAGCGGTAACCCCGAGCTACACTCGGGATTACACTTAGTGTCACTTACCTTGCCCCTATGAGACCCTGGTGTCTTCCGCTGTGTCCCCTGGCTGATGCTGGGATCCGTCTTCCGGAAGACGGGATCGGGCGGGGGGTTGGGGGGGACCGGCGGGAAATTAAAAAGTGAAAACATGACATACACACAATACATTGCAATCCGTTATGATTACATTACTGTAGCAAACCATTTCACCTCAGTTTTGTCCCTAGAGCTTTGTCCTGTGCCCTGCCTGCACTTTTACCGTTCTTTCTGCTTAGAAACTTGAACGTCCATGGCATCCAAAAAGCGGGTTTAGAGATAGGGATTTAGAATCACTTGCAGAATTGATAGTGATACGTGGGGAAATTCGTCATCAGACACTGAAAGTGACGACAGCGATTCTGCTATTTTTTTTTTTTTCTCCATACCTGGGATGTTTACTAAACCAATATGCAGTGTCTATTATTACAGTGACTAGTAATATTGCATCCTTGTTTGGATAAATTTCAGTGTTTTTGGTTTGATTAAATTCTTTAATTAAATGTGTTATATTTTTTATAATTATATTATAATTTATGATTTCGTGTTTCAAACTTTATCATGCCCGGGATGTCTACTAGACTCTTGCTTTGGACAGATTTAAGTGAGTTATTTCTAAGAATTCCAGGCCTCAATATAAAACAACAAATTTCCATGCAAAACAATGTACCGCTTTGACATTCAAAAATACTGACCTAATCAGACCGAGGTTAAAGGGCAAATGTCAGAATGGAAATATGGGAGCTGCTGATGTTGGCTTGTTTTTGTAGATGCAGGCCTTAGGGATGTTGTCTTTCCATTGTTCACCAAGTGGTGAGTCACTGACCTGGAACATCTATGGGGTGGATTTATCAAAATTGGAGCAGACAGAATCTGGAGCAGTTGCCCATAGCAACCAGCCGGCTTCTCATTTAGACCCTGTTCACACCAGGGTGGTTCAGTCGCGCTGAACCACTGACATGAACAATCCCATACATTCCTATGGGAACCATTCATGCAATCGCGTGGCTCTGCACAATGCGAACCACCTGCCGCCCAAAATGCTCCCTGAGCTTCTTTTTTTTTTTTTTCGCACTTATCAGCGTGTTTTTCCATATAGATTTCAATGGAAAGGCGCTAATCGGCACTTTTCTGGCTGTTTTCGATTGTGTTTCATTACTGAAATATGATTAAGAAAGCTCTTTCAAAAATCGCACAGAAACACTTCCGCCCTGGTGTGAATGGCGCCTTAAGTTTGTTCAATTAAGCTTTGAATATGAAAGATAGAAGCTCTGTACATTTCTGACAGTATCGACAGGTATTTTTTTGAACAAATAAAACAAAATGCTTGCAATGGTATATTTAACAGACCAAAAGGGAGCAAATATGAGAATTTCAGTGTTATGGTTTACATTCAGTTTAATATAAAACTGCTTGTTTTGAGTAAACTTGCTACATACCCTGTTTCCCCGAAAATAAAACCTACCCCGAAAATAAGACCTAGTTGTGGCCGGTGATGACATCAGGGGGAACTTGAGGAGGTATAAGACCTACCCAGAAAATAAGACCTATTGTGCTTTTTTGAGAAAAAAATATATAAGACAGTTGTCTTATTTTCGGGGAAACACGGTAGTTAAATCCTAAACATGGGTTATGTACAGTGTATGGGGCTGTTGGTATGAGGCAAATCTTTAGGGCAGTCTGTGATGATGCAACTCCCATGCCTGCTCATTGAAGGCCCACCATCCTGGCACTAAAGTGCCCCTCGGCAAAGTTGTTTGGTTTTTTTTCTCCAGCAGAGTTTCCTACCAACAACTGGATATGCTAGCATTTATATTTTGTTTATATATTCTATTTTATCCTAACCTTGCAGTGGTTTAGTGCTGCTTTTGAAATTCAGGGTCTCCTTACTATTTTAGAATTTAGTTACCAAGACCTCAATGAATGCAGTATTGTTAAGGCCACTATGGAATTAAATTGTTTTTGCAGCTTGACGAAATGGGTTTCTCTCGTGAGCCTGTTCATTTGAGCTTGTTTCTGACTTGATCCCTACAGTCGTGTGCCAATTTTGTGACCCTGTCCCAATATCATTTAGGCTGGATAAGGAAACGGAAGACAGAAGACAAAAGGCTATTGAAGAGGTAACCACCACTGGCGAATGTAACCTTCCCCCATGATTCTACTGTTGTTGAAATATGTTCCATGTACACAAACTTGTGCGTGCTAAAAGACCTTTTATTGGATAAAATGCAGTGTGTGTGTGTGTGTGTGTGTGTGTGTGTGTGTGTGTGTGTGTCATCCAGAGGTACTCACCTTCATGACGCTCCCCAGCTGCTCTTTCCTTTTGTTGTAGTTACTAAAAAATGCCAGCTGATGGCTGCTGTTTTGGCCTACATGGAACGACTGTCTTGTGCACCCTGTAAAGTGACAGTGTTCAAGCTTAAGTTGTACTAAAGGCTTGCTTTCTCTGCATTGAGGCAAAAAACACCCATTACTTTTCTAAAAACCCCTGTTCCCCCACACTTACCTGTAGCGGCTTGTATCCTCTGTCGCCATCGGGGAAATACTCGGGGTTCCAATAACTTCCTAGTCCTGGGGGGAGGGTACTGAGGGCAGAGGAGCCACAGGCTCCTTCTGCCGTCAGTCAAACTGATTGCAAGGGTGGGGGCATGGCTGGCGGCACGGTGTCTGTCTATAGACGCCCACAGCTAGTTGCGGGGGCACATACACGGGTGTTTCGACAGCAGGCGGCTAGCTGATGGAGGCCCCTGATTGGTCAGGGGGTTGGGGGGCAGGGCTAGTGGTTTGGATACCATCAGAAAAAAATAATTAAAGAGTAATAAAAAAAATAATCATTTTTTAACCTCCTTAGCGGTATTCCCAAGTGTGGCTCGGGGGTTAATTTTCTGTACCATAAGCGGTAACCCCGAGCCACACTCGGGAATACACAGCGCGTCTCTAACCTTCTTCCTCGAGCCACGCTGTGTCCCCTGGCCGATGCCGGCATCCGTCTTCCGGCCCTTGCTAGCGTACGCGTCGCAGGGGGCGGAACCTGCGGGAGATTTAAACGTAAAATAATAGAACCAAAAAAGGAAGAAAAAAAAATCATACCGCCAGGGAGGTTAAAGTAACCCAAACCCTGCTGGATATGAGGTCATCTGTTCCCTTCATCAGTACTCTTAAGCACTAGGGGGACATTTATCATCTCTGTCGCATGGCAAAGATGTGCTAAACAGGAGCAGTGGAACAATTTGTGAGACAAATTTATTACAAGGTCAAAGTCATACATTCTTCAAGTCACAGCTTTTCTAAAGCAGCACTGTGACAGAATAAAACCTGACCCTGACCAATTCTTTACTATGAGCCTGTTTAGAATGAAAATCTGTTACGTCTTCAGCAATAACTCTGTCTTGGGGCCGTTCACACCATATGCATTCAAGCTCTGCTGACCGTTTGACTTGTAACGTGTGGGGACAGTTCACACCAACACGGTTGCGGTTGAGCGCTTCTGCTGGTGTGCACAAACCCTTAAAACTGTGAAAACTAGAATAGTTGGCTAGCCAGGAATGCAGGCACACGGTACTCCACACCTGTCGCAGTTACTTTGCTGTCTGTAAGGGAAGTTTAATTGCGACCAATTCTTTCGCTTATTTGACTGAAAATGTCCCACTGGGTATTTTACAGCAACAGGGGAGTTCTGTGAGGAGGCCTGTCACTTGAATGGGTGAGGTGGCATGGTCTCCGTTTCTCTCCTCCTGGTTCATGATTGGTTGTCTTGTTGATAACGGATCTGCCTTCATGCATTAAAGGAGAACTATGGGG